GGACTTATCCAATTGAATCTTGAAATTTGATTGTCTGAACCGTTCAAATATTAGTCTCAAGCGTTCTATGTGCTCTTGGAGTGATTTACTGTATATTATGACGTCATCCAAGTAAACGCAACATATTTCGTTCTGGAGGCCACGAAGAACGTTGTTCATCACCCTCTGGAACGAGGCGGGGGCGTTTCGTAAACCGAAGGGCATACGTTTGAACTCGTAATGTCCTGTGTCGGTGGAAAATGCTGTTTTGTGTACGTCTTCCGGTTCCATCTCTATTTGGTGGAAACCATTTGCTAGGTCCAACGTCGTAAAGTACTGAGCTTTACCTAGTCTATCTAAAATATCAGAGATGTTGGGTAATGGGTACTTGTCTTCGATTGTTTTGTCGTTAAGTTTTCGGTAGTCAATTACTATTCTCCATTTTCTTGTACCAGATGCATCTAGCTTTTTTGGTACTATCCAAATTGGGCTAGACCATGGGGAATTAGATGGTTGTATTATACCATTTTTCAACATCTGGTCCATTTGGGTGCTGACTTCCTTCTTATGAATCTCAGGGTATCGATAAGTCTTTGTAAAAATAGGTGTTTCATTTGTAAGATTGATTTTATGTTTGATTTGATTCGTAAAAGTCAATGGAATACCTTCACAGTAAAATATGTCTCGGTATTCATAACAAAGGTCTCGAATCGCTTGATATTCTTCTTGATTACAGTGGTCTAAACGTAAGTTCTTCAAATTTTGTTTTAGTTTCATATCATTTGGTTGATTTACTTCGATATCCATATCGGTTTCCATTTCCTCGATAAAATTATTTTCAATTTCGTTTATAGGTTCTACTTCAAATGGTTCTGTGAAACTAATTTTTATTGGGTTTTCACATAAATTCGTAATTGTTGTCAATGCAAAATTACTTTCAATTTGTACCAAGGCTTCTGGCATTTCTGCGATATCATCAAAGTTAATATGGTTTAGTATTCCTATTCCATCTGTTTTGTTTACAGGTACTTTAACCTTTTGTGAAACACGAGGAGGTATAACAGTTTCATATGACTGTGTGGGCTCCGTTGTGTTTTGTGGGAAAAATAATTTGTTTTGAAAATGCAAGGGTAAATTTACTTGTGACGTTTCGAGTGCAAAATTCTTTAGATTTATTTTGGCACCGATATCGATTAGAAAATCGACACCTATCAAACCGTCGAATTTATTAGAGAAATTAAACAAGTAAAATTTGTGGTAACCATTTTTTTTTGAATGATGGAAAAATGGGTATATTTATGACTTCGTCATGTATTGATGTTGCATGAGCAGTTTTTACAGTGAAATATTCATTAGAAATGAATTGAGAGTAAACTTGGTATGCTAATTGCGGATTGATGAAACTTTTTCCGCTGCCTGTGTCGACTAAGAACTTAGCATTTAATTCGGGGATAATTATTACAGGCAAATCTGAAGTACTATAGTTGTTGAGGCATATTACGTCACATTGGGGTAATTGGGCGTAATCTGAAAATTTTGGTATTGGGAATCATCGATATTTGTTTCATTATAGTCATTATTAGTGTTGTCATACATGTTGTACATATAGTCATATGGAACATTGTATGAGTTGAACATTTCAGAATTTGGCATTTGGTAATAATTACTGAAATCCAATTGTTCGTCATTATTGGGAGTAGAATTAACGTCAATATTTGTGTCTTGAGTTTGAGTTTCGGTGATAGTATTAGGGGACAAAGTATTTGCGGATTGGTTCGAAAGTTCTTGCACAGTGAAATTATTCAGGCGAGATCTTTGAACTGTATTTGGTCTTATAGTGACACCAGACGATGTGTCCATTGGTTCTGGAGCACTATTGTTTTGGGTGATATTGGGTCTTTGGAATGGTCTATTGAAATTATTGAAGTTTTGAGGTCTTTGGAATTGGTTATTGAATGGCATATTTGGGAAAGGTCTTGCAAAGTTTTGGTTGTTAAACGAATTATTTGGTCGATAGAAAGGATTATTAGTGAATGGTGTTATAGGCATTCTTGGAATATTAGCAGCATAATTTCCAAGTGTATTGTTAAAACTTGATTGAGGCTTACTTTTATTATTGACGTTGTTATTAGGTATATTTCTTGAGCTTTGATTAGACCTGTTTCTATATTGTATGAAATTCTCTTCTTCTCGTACAAATGCGAGAGCTTGTTCAAGAGAATCTGGGTCTTTTAATCTTACCACTAACTGCATATGGTAATTTAAGTTGTTAATAAAAGTTTTTAGACACAGATTATCAAATTGTTCGATTTTTAGAATTTTCATATTATTAGGATCGTTTGAGCTATTAATTTTAGCAAATAACAAACTTCTAGAATCTTGCAATTTTAATCCAAAAGAATGTAAGGATTCGTTCTTGTCTGGTTTCATATTAATGATATCTTGGACAAGGCAATCTTCAGTTCTTTGGTCAGAAAATGTGACAATTAACGAATCTTTAATTTTCTGCCAGGTATCGAGTTCCGTGCGAGAAGCAATTAATTCGGCAGCTCTACCTGTCAATTTACAAATTACCGTATCGAACAAACAGATGTTTATTGGATCTGCGGCATTTTGTCGATTTTGGTGATTCTGTAGAAAATGTTCACATGATGTTAAAAATCTGCCAAGTGTTTTGGTGTTACCATCAAAATTTGGAATATTATCGGCTTGGTATCTAATAAGCTGATAATTTGGGTTGGCCATATTAACAAGATTTTGAATCTGATTATTAGGTTGAAAATTATTGTTAAAAATGTTTATAAGATTGTCAAGCTCGTTATCACCTTCCAGATCGAACAAATATATACCAATAAAATCAAAAAATATAAAAATAAAAGGAAAAGAATAATGGGATCACTTACAGCAATATCAGATTGATCTTGAAGTACATGAATTTATCTTCTATGGATTTTGGACGATGTAGTTCCGCTATCCGCACCAATAGGATTAATGGACGATTTTTGTTCCGATCCCTGGTCGCGAGTTCACTGATTGTCAAAAGTCTTTCGTATACCACGAACGTATATTTCGATTTGACGGTAAATCGTTAGCACGAAAAGACGATGGTTTTTTACGGCCCGCAAAATCCAAATTTTCGACTGAACCGGACTGTTTTTTACCGAAGTCTCCGTCAAAATCCTACCGACTGCGCCACTTACGAGGGGTGTACACGAGAGAGCGTTTTTAAAAAACTTTATTTGACTAATACAATAGAACTGACTTAAATCTAGAAATTACTCCTTTTATAATATTAAAAATAAGCTGAATAGAACAATATAAATGCTGAATTGGAGTTCTCACGGGATATAACTAGTGATGTTTTTTTCTTCCTGTTTTTTTTATTTTACTGTCAACACTGTGATTGTGTTTTATCAATTTATATTATATGTTGTCCTCGATGTTGTCTCAATCTTAAGTATTTTTTATATCAATTTGAACTATGTACTCATTTAAAAAATTAAAAATGGCAAGTCCGTCAATAAACATTTATTTATTTATAAAAATGTTATCAGTACTTTAAAACTTTATCCTAGGGGGATTGCTGTGAAATCCTGGCAGTGTGATAGATTGCAAAAAAATCACTAGAATCATTTAAAGATTTCCTGGAAATCGCGGCAGTCACTTATAGTCCAGGAGGTGGCGCCAAAAACATGCAAGAGTTTTCGCAAGGCGGATATTTTCAAAATAGGTCGTACTTTAGTGCTAGAATGCTAGTGTACAGTCAGCACTCACAGTTCCGGGACAGCTGGCTCTGGGACGCGGGCAAAGTTGTAATTTTAAGAAGAATCTTATCTGTTTTCTCAAAGCTCAAAATTTATAGAAATTTTGCACATTATATGTTTGAAGGTCACAGATAACGTATGTAAATCGTCAGACGTCTAGTTCGTTGCAAAAAGGGGGTCAGACGTCCTCAAAGTTTTTATTTTATGGCATTTTCTTCAAATATATTTGTCAAATACCTGCAAAAATATATTTTGACAGGACACCGAAGAAAATGCCATAAAATAAAAACTTTGAGGACGTCTGACCCCCTTTTTGCAACGAACTAGACGTCTGACGATTTACATACGTTATCTGTGACCTTCAAACAGATAATGTGCAAAATTTCTATAAATTTTGAGCTTTGAGAAAACAGTTTAGATGCTTCTTAAAATTACCACTTGGCCCGCGTCCCAGAGCCAGCTGTCCCGGAACTGTGAGTGCTGACTGTACACTAGCATTCTAGCACTAAAGTACGACCTATTTTGAAAATATCCGCCTTGCGAAAACTCTTGCATGTTTTTGACGCCAGCTCCCCAACTATTAGGGATTTCTTAGAAATCACCAAAAACATTTAGTGATCGTGGGGAAATTGTCGCCAATCTCTAAAAAAATACCGAAATCCCAGGATTGCCGCAATACATGTAAGGTACCTGTCCCAAATAAGGCCACGTTAAGAAGTTTTATTTTTTCCCAACATTATCCACCAAACCCAACAAAAATCACGAGCTTATATGTGAAGTGTTTTGCTTCTATTACTTGAATATTAACTCCAATTTATTTATTGTTCTATATAAGTGGTGGTTTTTGCGTAAAACAAAGACGCTTACCATTGGCCTTATTTGGATCACTATGCTCCTATCAAGGCCACCATTGAAAAATGTTTAAAATAAATACAATTATTTATAAAAATATTATTATTTGAGAAATAGTACATAAAATAGAACTTATACGTTTGCTGCATTCCTAAAAAAACAATAAGTTCGAGTCGAGGTTCGAGTTCTCTGGAATGGTGATACGAATAGGTCTACATACAACTGGGACAAATGATTCGCAGCATCTCTTGCATGGAGAGACTCCAGGCCGAGGGGTGTGTCAGTTCTGGAATTACATGTAAGTAAATTTTTTTGATTGTATTGTGAAAGTCACAGGAATTCGCTTAGTAGTCATTGGAAATTTGGCAGTCAGTGGCGCAATTCCGCGTAGTCGCTAGAACTCACTTGGCAGTCACTGGAAGTCGCGCGGTAGTCGCTGGAAGTCACGCGGCATTCAATGGTATTCACGACAATTCTGTAGGAGTTTGGTCGCGGCATTCACAGTCACTTGCCACACGCTTTTGATCGCGAATTTGATTTGTGCAATATTTATATGGAATCCTCAATAGAAACATTTGTTTAGTTGCTTGACATCATATTTGAAACGTAAGTGACGTAGTAAGCAACATGAAAAAACTTGTAGAAGCCTGAGCACAGAGATTCAACGCAGATGAGCGTTCGGAAAATAATAACTCGACATCTTTTAATAATAATGGAAGCCAAGAAAATGAATCACAATCCCTCGGACAATCCACAATAAAGTATATAAAAAATTTAATTCATACTTGTTCTAGTAGTTTTTTATCTAATTTGGGAAACCTTTCAGAAGACTTAAAAAAGCAAAAAATGACTTCTATCAAAACGTTGATTGATCAAAATCAGATTCAAAATAATAAACACGATCTTAAAAAAATTTATCAAATAATTTCAGAAGCTACAAATGAGAAAACTCGCTCAGAAAATTCATTGCACCTCATGAATGATGAGGGTCTCCTTTTAACAGACAATAATCAGGTGGCAAATCACTGTAATAATTACTTTATTAATGTTGGGTTGAATATGTCAAAAAAAATTGAACCTCCAGTGAACTTTTCTGAGAGACACATTTCAAACGCAGATTCGATGTTTTTGAATCCTGTAACAGAGAATGAAATAATTAAACAAATATCCACGTTAAAAAACTCCTGTGCTCCTGGTATTGACGGAATCAATATATTCTAAAGCCCCTCGTTCATATAATTAATTTAATTTTTACTAAAGGAATTGTTCCAACTAGAGATTAAAGTGTGGTAACGTTACCGCGGTAACGGTAATTTTGGTAAGGTAATTCTGGTAATTTAACCCGACAAGTTTCTTTACCGGAAATTTTTAGAAATGCTTCCTGAATGAAATCACGTTCAGGCGACAATCCTACTCATGCATTATTCGCCATCTTGTTGTGAAATTGTGAATCTGTAACGCGCTTTCAGGGTTGGCATAAATGAATAGTTATTTACCTAACTAGTGCGGAAAGTGGTGCTTTTCCCCACGCGACTGCAGTTGGCAAGCTGTCAAGGGTGAAATAGTTATTTTCCTAACAAGTGCGCAAAGTGTTACTTTTCCGCACGCAAACACAGTTATACGAACGACGCGAAGCGGAGTTCGGATACGTGTTTGCGTGCGGAAAAGACACTTTGCGCACGTGTTAGGAACAAAATTTTTCCTACGAGCTTCATATCAGGTAGGTAACAACAAAAATTTAAAAAAAAAACGATAATTTGTTTAATTATTTTTAATTAACTTGAAGGGAACCTATGCATTTATCAAAAAATTACATAACAAAAAAAAAATATAACAGAAAATCATCGTCAGAGCTCTTCATCTTAAAGCGTTTAATGGCGATTTCCATTTGTCATCAGTGCCGCACTGAGTGCATCCGCATCTTTTTCTAAAAGCATGTAACATGTAAGGATAAGGATACATTTTTTTGCCCTGTTTCGACAAATGGAAAATGCTATAAATTTGATGAGATAGTTTGTAGATGCATATATATAGAAAACAAATCTGACAATGTGTTGAAGTTAATTAAATTTGGTGTTTGTAGGTATAGATGTTAGCTGGAACAGGAACAGAGGAAAAATTTGTCATCATGTGTCAAAGTCGACAGGTGTACTTATTGTTGCTTGACAATTATTTTTACTTTTCGGCACTCAGTGCGGATAAGGCCTGTATCCGCACTGAGTGCGGAAAAGTGCAACTTTGAGAACCGAAATGCGTGCGGAAAAGTACTACTTTGCGCACGCTCGTAGGAAATAGTTATTTTCCTAACAAGTGCGCAAAGTGTTACTTTTCCGCACGCAAACACAGTTATACGAACGACGCGAAGCGGAGTTCGGATACGTGTTTGCGTGCGGAAAAGACACTTTGCGCACGTGTTAGGAACAACATTTTTCCTACGAGCTTCATATCAGGTAGGTAATAACAAAAATTAAAAAAAAAAAAACGATAATTTGTTTAATTATTTTTAATTAACTTGAAAGGAACCTATGCATTTATCAAAAAATTACATAACAGAAACAAATAACAGAAAATCCTCGTCAGAGCTGTTCATCTTAAAGCGTTTAAATTTGATGAGAAAGTTTATAGATTTTTGCATATAAATAGAGAACAAATCTGATGGGTCAAAGTTAATTTATAATTGGTGTTTGTATAGATGTTGGCTGATATAGAAATAGAGGAAAAATTTGTCATCATGTGTCAAAGTCGACAGGTGCACTTATTGTTGCTTGACAATTATAATTACTTTTCGGCACTCAGTGCGGATAAGGCCTGTATCCGCACTGAGTGCGGAAAAGTGTAACTTTGAGCCCGGAAATGCGTGCGGAAAAGTACTACTTTGCGCACGCTCGTAGGAAAAAGACATTTTCCGCAGAAGTTAGGTGTAATGTTTTTCCACAAGTATTTTTGTACATCTAACTTATCAAAAAATCTGCGTGAGATCTAGGTTTTCTCAATGGAAAATAGTACCTATAGATATATGTATAGTAATTTGATTTGAAGTGAAAAATAAGTACATAGTATTGTTTGCCCAGCGGATCTGAGTCTACGGAAGGAATTCGGACGTAAATGTGCCATGTTGTCACGTTTAATTATAAAAAAACGAAAATAATAGGCATGAAGTATAGTTCATTTGAAAATCCATTTTTGAATAACAAAATATAGATACCAATAAAACGCTAAATATTTCAACGTGGTTGTTAGATCTATTCTTATTCTAATAACTGATTTCTTCAATTTTGTCCATTGTAAAAAATAAACATTTTCTAAAGATACCATCAGTTTTTGACAATTTGGCAAGCATCCGGCCTGGATGAACCTGATTGGTGGAGTTTTTGGCAGGATGGCCGTTGCCAAGGGGAACCATGTCGTTGTCAATGGGCTAACGTCACCTCACGTCTCGCTATTGGTCAGGGCTTCCGTCATTGTATCCTCCCATCTTGGAATATCGATTTATATTGAAATATCCAGTGGCAGGGGTTTGGTCATTTTCGATTTTCGTGTAGGAGTTGCAATACGATAACACGTCCAAAAAATTCCGCACGCAGCTGGGTATTTTATGAATGAAATCAGCCATTTTTTTTTACAACTGCATTCCCCTTACCGTTGCCCCGTAGACACAGAGTCGCTGGGCAGACATTACCTACATTTTGAATTAAAACATTGCGCTCGTAGTAAAAACCTATTTCAAAAACCTGGTTGGTTTTTGTTGTTCTGAGTTAGAGATTATCATTTGGAATGTCAAAGACCTTAAAACACAAAAACCCTACGGAAGCACAACTCTTGCAAAAACTCAAAAAAACCAAAAGAAATTTTCAAAAACCCCCAAAAAAATCTCTTATGCTATCCTTATTCAACTCATTTTATTTATTTGTTTTCTTTTTGCCCTTTATAAAGGGCAGATTAAGGAGAATTTATTTCTATTTTATTTTTGTCTGATTTTCTTTGCTTGTTTTTCGTTTATTTGTTTAAATATTGTAATATTTCTATGAGGTTATGTTTTACAAAAAACAATATTATAATTTATAATAAATGGGTGTTTAGGTAAAACATCCTGAAAATCTATAATCCTTGAACGTATAGGTAGGTATAGTATATAGTCATAATTGTTTCATTCATGAATCATGAAATATTTCCAAAATTACCAAAATAACCGCAAAATTACCGGTAAATTACCACTGAGAAAGAACAAATGAAAATTACCGGTAAACTTCAATCTCTAGTTCCAACACAGTTTAAAACTTCTATCGTAACCCCTATTCATAAGGCTGGTGATAAAAAAAAGATTAGTAACTACAGGCCAATAAGTGTGATGAGCAATTTTGGAAAAATTTTTGAGAACTGCCTAAAAGTCCGTCTGGTATCATTTTTGAATAGGTACAATATTTTGCACTAGTGCCAATTTGGCTTTCGCGATGGCAAATCTACAAGTGATGCCATGTGTTCTGTTTTATTGGAAGTACTGGAATGTTTAGACACAAACAAGAAATGCATCTCTGTTTTCCTTGATTTGGCGAAGGCGTTCGATACTGTTAACCACGCTAGACTTATTAGTACTCTTGAGCGCTCTGGGATACGTGGCTTGGTGTTGGATGTCTTTCGGAGCTATTTGACAGATAGAATGCAGTATGTCCGGATTGGTGATGCACTAAGTAATCCAGAAAATATTAAAATAGGCGTTCCCCAGGGAACAGTCCTTGGACCCATACTCTTTTTGCTGTATATCAATTCATTGTTATCCGTTATTACCGACGTAAAAATTGTTGCATACGCAGACGATACCATGGTAACATTTAAGGGTGCAACATGGGAGGAAACCAAGTTGGCTGTGCAAATGGGCATGGAAAAAATTGGCTAAACTTCAACTATTTGTCGCTAAACGTTGATAAAACACACTATCTTGCCTATACTCTATCAGATGCTAACAAACCAGAGTATAATAGTATCAGTGTTCAGGGCATGGATGAGCATATCGGGGAGGTGAGTGAGATTAAGTACTTGGGCATAATTTTAGATAGGAATTTGAAATGGACGAGTCATGTGAACTACCTTACAAAAAGAGCGAGAAAGCTCATCTACAAATTTTATCAGATGCGTGATTTTCTTTCAAAGAGTTTACTATTATTAATTTACAAATCTCTTGCTGAATCACTGTTTTGTTATGGCATTTTGGTTTGGGGAGGAATGTATGGTAACGCACTGCAAAAACTGAATGTAATTCAAAACTACATATTGAAAATAATTTATAGAAAACAAAGAAGATATACTACTAGTCTGCTCTATACAGAGGAGGTATGTAATATTCGCACCTTATACTTTCATAAAATATGTATCCATGCATTCAAAAATGTCCCTACTCAAATTCAATGTAACTCTGTGTATCAGACTCGTAGTACATCGAATGAGTTATTGTCAACTCGTAGATTTAATAAAAATATTTCCCATAGATTCTTCATTTATAC